TCTCTCTCATTCTCTCTCTCTCTCTCTCTCTCTCTCTGGTCTCTCTGGTCTCTCTCCCCCTCCCTCCCCCTCTCTTTCTCTTTGTCGCTGTCTGCCTCTCTCTCTCTCACTCTTCCTCACTCTTTCTCTCTCATTCTCTCTCTCTCTCTCTCTCTCTCTCTCTCTCTCTCTCTCTCCATTTGTCTTTGTCTGTCTTTGACAGTACCTTCAATCAATCAGTTGGTCTATTAATTGGGAAATCAAACGGGCAATCAACAACAGATCAATCAGTATGACAATCAGTCGATCGGTCAATTCAAACAATCCATTGATCAATCTGTTAATCAATTAAATCAATCAAGCAATCGATCGACGAATCGATCGGTCCGCTAATTGGTTCGGTAATCAATGAATCAATTAATCGAGTCAACTAATGAATTAACTAATCAGTCGCTCAATTCATTGTTTTCCAGTACTTTGTCAATCACTCGGTAGGGTGCTAAGTAGATAATAATCACCCGTGCAATCAATAAACCAATCAATCGGGTAGCCAGCAAACCAATTAGGAAACCAACCACTCGTTCAACTAATCGGGCAAAGAAATCAATCAATCAATCAATCAATCAATCAATCAATCAATCAATCAGTCAATCTATCAATCAATCAATCAAGCAAGCAATCGATCAACCAATCAGTCTATCAATCAATCAATCTATCAGTCAATCAACCAACCAATCAACCAATCAATCTTAGCGGTGAACCAACCAGTCAATCGATCAACCAAGCAATCACTCGAGCGATCAGCCTTCGAACATCAACGCACTGAATCAGTAATGGGGTATCGCCAATCAATCATCTAGCCAACCAATTAACGAGGCAATCAATTGTGCAGTCGCTCTGTTTATCGAGAAATGAATCACTCGATCGGGCAGGCAGACAGTCAATAAGGCAGTCAATCAATCCACCAGTCTATCAACTAATCAATCTACCAATCCATCTACTAATCAATTGACCATTCAATCAACTACGGTTAATCAATCAACCTGGAAACCAACCAGGGAATCAAGGAATCAGTTCTGTCAGTGAATCGGTTGATTAATTCATGATAAATCATTTGATGTATTCAATCTATCGTTCAAGATTGACAGAATCCAAATCAGCAACGAACTAATCAGCTGTATCGTCGTTAAACCACCACGACCTTCTTGGACTCCCCTGATTACTTTCCTTTTCAGGGATCTCCAAGATCCTCAAGATCCGCAAGATCCCCAAGACGGAGTGTCGTCCTTCATCGATCCGTTCATCTTCATCGATACGTCATCGATCCGTTCATCTTCATCGATACGTCCTTCTTCATCGATCTGTTCATCTTCATCGATCCGTCCTTCTAGAATCCAAATCCCCAGGATGGAGAGTCGTTATTTTTCATTGGTCCGTTCGATTGACTATCATCCAGCGGGCACAGCGACCGTCTTCACCGAATAGAACGCCCGGTAATTATTACCGTATCTGGACTGAAAGTTGCACCAAATACACAGCTATAATGACCGGGCGTTCTATTCGGATGAAGACGGTAGTCGTTTCTGTTTTTTTTTGTTTTTTTTTTCCTTGTCTGCAGAGGGGGGCCTGTTCTTTTAGGAGGTAGCAGTAGTAGTGAAAGAGGATCCGTGACGTGCGCTGCTCTGTCATTGGCACTGATCAGCCATCGAGTCAGCCACCTGTTCAGTCGACGGATCGAGCAAGCAATTAATCGGTCACCAATCAAACGTGCAGGACCGAGCTGGAGTGTAGGCTACTGCTATATATCAGCCAACGAACCCGTTTATCAACGCATCATCTAATGACAACGATAAAAAAGGCCTGAAAAAATAAAAATAAAAAAAATCGACAGGTAATGGAATTGGTTGGAATTAACCTTCTTATAAAAAAAATAATAATTGAAAAAATAATAATAATAATAAAATAATAATAATAATATAAAAAATCAGATCACTCCTCATACGCGCAGCCTGAAGGGGTTGCGATTTTACTCTCCCTCCGAGGGAAAGTGGGAGACTCCCACTCCCTGCAAGGACATTTGAGGAAAACTTGGGTCACAGGCATGTTGTGTGTGGGGGGGGGGGGGGGGGGGAGAGGGGTTAAAGGGGGGACGGAGATCCCTTATCGGGGTGCGTTTGCCTCTCAGGGGAGAGAGAGCGGCGACGATCTGAATGAAATCTAGAGGGAAATTGGGATCGGAGGCACATTTTTAGCAATTCTAAGGGGCATACTCACACTGGCAAAAAAATTGCAGAATGCATCTGACTGCAATTACAGCCAGACTTGCATGAATCAGACTGCAATCTGGTCCAGAGCGTTTCGCAAAAAGTCCTACTACGGTAGTGCGAGTATGGCGTCAGGATTCTGCAAAAAACAAAAAATCATCTGGTCGGTCCTAGTTTTGTGCGACCGGTAGTCTGGGAAAAAGTCCACCGTTCGCCTGCCTGCACGCCTATCTCTCAGTCGGTAAGGCACGCGCAAGTTGCATCAGAAGGTCGAGGGTTCGATCCCCATCTAATTGGCCTCACGTTCGTGTCACGGTCGTGTCACGGTCCTGTCACGGTCGTGTCGTGCCTGGGCATATGCTCTTTGTGTCCTGCCATGCAGAGATAGCCCGTTGGCCTCCCAGGCCAGCATTGGCAGGACCTTGGCCAATATGGTTGGTGCTATGCGACAACGATATAGGCTATTATGAGACACCGCCAATGTGGG